TTCTGGGTGTGGAAGCTCTCCTGCAGCCCCCCAATTGCCCCCTCTCCCCAGATGGCAGCCTGCGGCGAGGGGTGTGATGTGCCCAGTGTGGGTACTCCGGGCACTCCAAGCCAGAACTGCTTTGCAAGCGGGGAACCCCTGAGAACTGTCTGTCCGGGGTGGAGGTCGGGTCCCTTTAAGCACAGCCCTTGGCTAGCCTGAGACAGCATCTCCATGCTCTAAGTCCTCCTCTGATGCCCTGCCGGCACTGCTTCCGGCCATCCTTAAGCCCGGTTCAGGGTCTACTTAATGTGGACATGCTAGTTCGAATTAGCAAAACGCTAATTCGAACTAGTTTTTAGTTCTAGACGCGTTAGTTCGAATTAGCTAAGTTAGTTCGAATTAGCGCTGTAGTGTAGACGTACCCTAAGAGTGTCAGAGCTAGATACAGGATCAAAAAGATAGTCTGATGTGCTAAACTATCTGTTCAATCTTGTATTTAGTTATTTCTCTGATATGTGTGAAGAAGTCCTGATTAGTCAATTTTTGCCCTAATCCTTCAGGCTTTACTCAAGCAAAACAAACATCTTTGTACATATGCAAGTTAGAACTATTTAACTTGAGTAATCAAAAGAAAAAATGAGAAACTTGCTCCTGAGGGAAAATGTATCATTTTCATTTGCTCTTCTCCCAACATTTTCCCATGCAGTACATACAGATCTCAACATGAAGTAAGTTTTCCTGTAGGCATAATTTATGTGTGCGGTTGGCTAACTGAGAAAATAGGTTACACAGGTGACAATAATGTGCTGCTAGCAGGGAAATTTTACAAGGCACACTATTGCTCTTGCATTCCTGAAGATATGCCTGCTTGGCAAACCCAAAGCTATTATTTTCATTTCACAACACATTAAAAGATTTATCTGGTGTTACTCAGGTCCTTCACTCAAATCATTTTTGTTTTTCTTCATTTAAATAATTGCTCTGGGGTGAGGCTGGAGATGAGAGGTTCGGTATGCAGGCTGCCCTGGGGAGTGAGAACTACCCCAGCCCTCTCTCACTTCAGCAGCTTGGGGCCAGATGAGAAGTGCCTGTCCATCACTGCTGCAGCTCCAGCAAGCACAGCTGGGGAAGGGGTGCATGTCCCTGACACAAAAACTCTTAAATATATCATAGCTAGCTGCCCCTTTTTCTGTCTTCACCCTCTGCTGCCCCAATGGGGTTATATCTGTCCCAGTTCCTATCTCTGGCCCCTTGCTACCCTCCTATGGTCATTCTGTACAGTATAACTGTCTCTGCTTTCCATCCCCTTACTACCCCCATGTGGTCATTATATAGCGCAACCTTCCCTTTCTATTTTATGGCTACGTCTAGACTGCAGCTCTTTTCTGGGATCGGAAAAGCTATGCCGCATCCAAGGAATGCATCCACTTTTCAAAAAAAAATTCAGACAAGCAGATGCGCTCTTTTGCCATCCCTCTAAACCTCGTTTTACGAGGAAGAAGGGATGTGTTGAAAGAGGAGGTTTTTCTGAAATTTGGCGCCGTGTAGATGTGCCAAATTTTGGAAAAGCCTCTTTCAAAAGAAAAGCAGAAAAAGATAACGCAAATTGCTGTTTGCAATTTGCATATCTTTTTCCAACTTTTCTTTGTAGTGTAGACATAGCCTATGAGAACCAATCCCATTCCAGTCCCATCCCATTTTCCTGGAACAACCAAACCCTGACCTTGCTTTAAGTTATGATAAGAGGAAGCTGCCTACCAAATTTGGTGGTCCTAGCTCTTACCGTTTACGAGGAGTTCTTGAACAAACAGACGGATGGATGAATGGACAAAGAGAAACTCTCTCAAATATGTAATAGATTAAATTACCTTCCTATTTAATATTCTGTTCTGTCATCAGTCAGTAAACCAAATCAGAAATTCGTATCAACCATAAGTGCAAAGACTTCACCTGAATGAACATGGTCTGAAAATTAATTTCAACTAAACACTGATATAGCTGTATTCAGCTGAAGTTTGTAACAACCGAAATTCTGACTGATTATCATTTAGGGATGTCAGAGTTTAACTGATCAAGCAATAAGCTGATGCTTATCAGTTTCTGTTACTGGTTAAGCTCTGCCCTTGTGAGGAGCTGGCTGTCCCAGGTTTCAGATGCTGTAGGTGTGTGCCAGCTCCTGGCTGCTGGGAAGCTGACTGTCCCATGCTGTGCATTCTGCCAGGCCTACTCCTGAAGTGCCAGCTCTGCTCTGGGGAAGCCGGCTGTCCTTTGGACTCCACAGGTACATGCCAGCTTCCGGCAAACACTGAGGGAGTGGAGCCAGTGCCCCAGGAGTGGGGCTGGCAGAACCCACAGCTAAGGGCAGCCAATTCCCTACAGAGGCAGCAAGGAGCCGGTGTGTGGTGGGAGCCTGCTGGCTCTACTGTAGAGGCCACAGCATTGGGCACCTGGCTCCCTGGGAGCCACACGGGGCACCCCTCCACCATCCCTCTCTCCCTAGTCTCATTGGTCATACAGCCCCAGGTAAACTGGTTAACCATGGAACTGTTAGGATTTTTAACAGTTACATGATTACTGTTTTTAATTTTTTTTAACATCCCTATTTTAACCTTGGCTTACTGTTCAGGAAATCATCACAGTGTACAGCAAAATGAATCAAACCCATGGCTTTGATTTAACTACAAATAAAGGCAGTCTTGTAAATGCATGCACTCCTTTCAAGTTAAACTGGTGCATAAGTATTTGCAGGAGTGGGGCCAAATTCACAATTTTATGTTTTGTTTTATTTTATTTTAATTATTAAGGACTTAGGGCTGCAACATATTCAATGCTGCCATCCAGTGTAATAGCAATATAAATGGATGGCCACTGTGTTGCAGAAAATGCCCGGGGGAACCAATATCAGCTAAATTACAAACAAAGTACACACAAAAATGTAAGAAGGTGTAGAAAAGTCCCATTTTGTTTATGGAGATTCTCTTTTCTTTTTCTGTGGGGAGGAGAGGACAGAACTAAGGCTTTAATCTAAACTTTTTGGGGGGACCTAGATCCAAAAAGGTCCCCAAAGAGAGACTGCCACTGTCGGTGAGTACGGTGGGAGGCCAGACCTCTCCTGTGGGCACCATGCCCCTCTACTAGTTCCCCTTGGACACCCAGAGGCTCTGGCCCTGCAAGCTACTAGCCAGTTCCTTGCCCCTCCCACTCATAGCATTTGGGGGGCATGTGCCCCCTTACGCCTTCCCACATATTTCCCCTGCTGGTGTCGCTCAACCCACAGGAGACTGATAAATACAAAATGTAAAGTTCTGCATATTGTTACTGGGACTTTACAGTCAACTCCACTGCCATGGCTACCAATACTTAGTAAGATAGCACTGCCCTATGTTCGCCATGAGAAAACCTCTATCATGCTGCTGGCCAAGATCTGGGAGAACAGTGATCTGCCTTTGTACACAGACTTCTTGAACCACCAGCAAGCCTGTCTTCTAGAATCCCTTTATAGTCATTTATGCTACTACAGGATATGACTGAAATCTGATTGGCGCAATGAGTGGTCAGCAACAACCATCATTAGTCACTCTTTTGCCAAGGACTCAACCATCTGTCCACCAGGACTTGATCTACCAAGACATCTGTGGCCATCTCTGAACTGATTTCAAACAGGACAGGGCAGCTATGCAACCAATCTCTTTAGATTCGGTTTTTGTAATCCTCTGCCATGCAGCTGTAGTCAGTTCAAACTTGCATATCCTTGACAAATGCCACGTGACTTACTTCAGTGGCAGGCTACCCACTCTCTACCTGTAGTTAATGTGTCAGCTTATGTGCAAAAATATTTTTTAAGAGTGCAAAGTATCAAGGCAGAAGAGTCAGAAAAGATTACAGGAAAAATGAAGAGGTTTACTAATACCTAATTCAATAAGCTATATCACATGCAAGAAAGTTTCTAGCCACATGCTTTCAGGCATCTTACTGAACAAACCACTGTGACCACTGGCCCCTGCCCTATCTCCCCAGCTCTCCCATTGTGTGGCTGCTGGCCCCTGCCCTAGGCTAGTGCCCCCCACAGAGTACCAGGGAACTGGGTAGCATGTCCCCAGCCTTCCTAGGCCAGAGCAATGGGGAAGGGGGCAGGCAACACTGCTCTAGCTCCCTCCCCCCAGCCCCAGAGCACAGGTTGTCAGGCAACCTGGCAGAGCCATCTCACTTCATGGCCTACAGTTTGGGGGACTCCCCAGCAAGCGCCTCAACCATCCTATGGATGGGACCTGCAGGGTACTTAGGCAGCCCAGGGGATTATCTGGGGGGCTTGGTGCAAGGTAGCAGTAGGGGTCGGGCCCCTCTGCACTCACCATGGCAGTGGGGTGAGTGTGGAGTAGGTTTGATCCTTGCAGCTGCACCTGCCAGGCCCCCCAGTAATCCCCTGGCTCGTGTCACTTACGGGAGGGGACTTGGGGCGAGGGGTAAAATGGAGGCAGGAGGGGGTGGGCTGGTAATGTGGGCTTCTGTATTAATGGAAGCTTCAGGGGGGGTAGCCGAGTGAGTCTGAGCAGGATAAACCGGAAAAACAACCAATGGTCTGGTAGCACTTTCCAGGCGAACAAAACAGGTGGAGGGTGTCCGTGTTAGACCTTGCTGGCAATCAGTTACGTTGAAATGCTTTGAGTGGTTTATTTGTGGGTTCGCCATTTTGTTTTGTTGCGAACCACAGGCGAGCCTCCATTTTGATCAGTCCTCTTCCTGGCTCCTGGAGAAGGCGGGGAAACCGGGAAAGAGCGGGAAAGTGTTGCTAGGCGACAGGAGTGCATGGCTAGGGGGCGCTCAGGGTGCTTGGGGCTCTCTCCTCCTCCAGCCCCTGCACTGAGCGGGCTCAGGCAGCTGGGCTCTGGCTTGGAGTGTCAGTCGTGAGCAAGGTGGGGTGACACCGACGGGGTGTTCGATTACCGGGGAGCACACGCGGCTCGTCGGACGAGGCAGGGCTAACGCGCCTGAGACGGCACCAAGGGGCCAGGGTGGTGCTGAGTGAGGGCCCAGCCTACGCCCCTACTGTGGCTGAGTCGTTCCCCATCCCTGTCATCCGGAGAGGAGACTTGGAGTCAGCTTTCCCTGGAGCTGGGTAAGACAGGAGGCCTAATTTCGGCTCCCCTCCTCCGTGTGTTGTGTGTGACTCCTGCAGTTTCCAGACCCAGTTATTCTGTCCTTCCCTAGACGAAGTAGTTTCCTTCATAAGTTTGTGTGTGGACTCCTCATTCGGTGCCCTGGTAGACATGTGAAAGGGGTGAGAACCAGCGAGGAGCTTGTCTCTGGAGTCCTCCTTTCTCTTACTAATCTGGCAACCGCGGCAGGACCCCAAAACACATTTGTGGGGGGCTTTTCCTGTTCCCCTTCCCTGTGCTTATCGCTCTTTCCTATCTTTTCTATTACGGGTTTCTTTTTTGGTTCATTTGGTCTTGGAAACTGGGTCCCACTGGACTAAGGCTGTGAGTGTAATACCTGAGCGCGAGGAAGAATGTCTGCCTGTCCCTAAGTGCACTCGGGACTTGGGAGTAGCGGGGAAGGTGGTCAAGCAGCTGGCAGTGTGGAGGCCGTTGAAACCCCCCTGGGGCAAGACACAGAGGCTAGTAGCCAGAAAACCAAAACGATGAGCACCAGAAGCAGAGAGGAGTCTCTGTGCTAGCTGCTCAGGAGACTGTTTTGGGACTGTTGAGACCCCATAGAGGAATTTCATCTCAGGGTTTCTGTTGGGACGATTTCCAAGGGATCCGGGCACAGCGAACGCCCACTGGAACTTTTGTAGTTCCAAGCCTCTTGTTGGATGGGGGTCAGCAGAAAGGCAGGTAGCCGGCCTAGCTAACCAGTACAGAGCCTTTTCTGAGGGCGACTAGCTCCTAGGAAACCTAGTGGGTTAGATTGGTTGGGCAGCTCAGATTCTGGGAGCAGCAGCTGTCAACTCTAGAGGGTGAAAGAAATGCTGTAGTTCCAGTGCAGAAAGAGACAGAGGGCGCCCAAGTGCAATCCAGCAGCACAGTGCAAGAATCACATTAGGGGTCAGAGAGGCAGAAAACTCTTCAGTGATCCCAACTGTAGCAGTGCTCAGCTCCCTAAGGGGAATTAATACCCCTATTGGCTGAAGGTTTGCTCAATTAGTAGTGACCATGTGCACGTGGGCAAATTGTTTCAGGCCAGGGTAGAAGCCCGAGGGGAAATTGCCCATTCATCAGGCAATTTATAAGTTGGCAAAAGGCAAAGACCCATGGAGAGAGGGAACATTCCAAGGACGAGAGGTCTGGAACACTTTGCAAAAGCAATTGGCAAAATTCGTGGCAGGACAGCCACGGCTCTCAACAAAAGATCAGAAAAGAGCCTTATTATATGGCCTCCTTTCAGCCATGGAGGAATTAGTAGAAGCTGTGGCTGAGCAGGACCGTCAAATATTAAAGGCCAACACAAATGTTAGCACCAAAGAGGCTGAGTTGGATAAGCTCCATTCTAAAATCAATGCGCTTCAAGAGCAAGCCATGGCATGTGTTACTCAATCTAGTCGGCTCACAGTGCAGGTTCAGGACCTTACTGTGTCCAAAAAGGATAGAATAATGGCCTCATTAAATATCCAACTTGAGGAATCTCAAGCAGCTTTGTGTAAGCTAATCAAAATTATGCAGGCTGAATAGTGATAGAGATGCTGCCGTGTTAGTCTGGTCTAGCTGAAACAAAAGACAGAACTGTGTAGCACTTTAAAGACTAACAAGATGGTTTATTAGATGATGAGCTTTCGTGGGCCAGACCCACTTCCTCAGATCAAATCAGATCTGAGGAAGTGGGTCTGGCCCACGAAAGCTCATCATCTAATAAACCATCTTGTTAGTCTTTAAAGTGCTACATAGTCCTGTATTTTGTTTCAGCTACAACCACTATAGTAACTCGAGATAGGGGCAACCAGCAGAGGGTGGAAGCAAGGCATGAGAGCAAGGTGTTTTCTCCTGAATAGGCACAGGCTCTAAGGAAGTGACTGGACCCCCAACTCGTGAGACTGCTGTAGATTGGATGGCAAGGATTTCAGCCATCCCAAATTTAGTGGTGGGGGATATAGCTGCTCTTGTCAGGGAATGCATTAGGTCAGAGGAATATCTTGGGCTCCCAGAAGAGATACAAACAGCTAGTGCCCCTAATCCTGTGGCAATGTATCAGGGTGTCTATCAGATGTTCTTTCCCCAGAGTAGTCGGCAGATTCTACTCCGAGAGAATGGAAGAACGCCCAGAGCAATATGTAGGAAGGAAGAAAATCTTGTATGTGCTAGCTGGTGGACTACACTGGGACTCCACTGATTTTAAGGAATCGGTAGTTCAAGGGCTGTGGGGCCCCTTGATCCTCATGCGTGAGATGGAGGCAAAGCTCAGGGAGGGGTATGAGCTTCAGAGGGGAGCTTTCCCAGTTGGTCCTAAGGAAAGGAAGGTTGCAACTTTAATCCCTGCCAATGGGAGAGGTAACAACTCTATAGCTGGGAAGCGCAAAGGAAGTCCTAGAACAGCTTCAAGGGGGCAGGTCATTTTCAGAGGTGCACCATCCAATCAAAATCGACAATCTGTCCAGAAGCCAGACAGTGATTTCAAGGTCTTTCGTAGGCTAATATGGAACCAACTGCTAGGTTATGAAAAGAAATCTGACATTGATGAGCTTCCTACCCCTGAACTTAACCAATGGTTGGTGTCCCATCAACAGTGGGTTGGAAAATCTTCAGGGGACGATACCCTGAATTTGTTCTGACTTTCCCCTAACTTCCCAGCCACTCTGGGCTCCGCCAATTTACATAATGATAACTGGGGTCAGCTGGTTGCAGTGGTGACTATAACGGGGAGGTTTGGGAAATTTGTGCAGGACAGGTTAGTGGATACTGGGGCGGCATCAGGGGCGGCCTGTCCATATGGGTGAACTAGGCGGTCGCCTAGGGCGCCAAGTTAAATGGGGCGCCAAATGGTGGTGCAATATCATTGAGGGGTTTGGAGGTGGGGGCGCCGATTGCATGGTTCGCCTAGGGCGCCAGTTGCTGGCAGCTAGTCTAGGGCTGCCCCTGGGCGGCATTATCTATACTTTGCTGTGAAGGGGATGGTGAGGCAACTGCTCTTCCTGTGGCTTCCCACCTACATGTGGAAGGCTATGCAAGAGGGGATGGCATGGCCATACCTTTCACTAAACTTGTGAATTATAAAACTGGAACTTGGGAAATAAAAGCTTCCTTTGGGGTTCACCAGTTGGAAGGAACTGGTATACCCAGTATGGGTATTGACATCATACAAAGACTTGGGGTGATGGTGGATTTGCCAAATCTATGACTCCCTTTTACAATGGACCAAGTGGAAACTGTGGTGCCAGCTTCCCACCGAGTTGCTGCTATCAAAGCCTTGGAGGAATACCATAAACCTCCTCAGGAGCCTGAGGTCGAGGCAATCTTTTGTAAATACCGAAGTACTTTTGCCAAACAAACTGCATTGTGGCCTGGTGCATGGAGCGGTCACAATACCTGGACCGGATCCTTGGCTGCTGAAACAATACAGATTCCCTGAAGAAGCAATTCCCAGTGTCAAAAGGGCTATTGCATCATTAGAAGACCAAGGAGTGTCATTGCATCGTTAGAAGACGAGGAAGAGCCCTATTGTACTGGAATTATACAGTCACCTACTTAAGAGATAGTGCTTGCTCCAATTTATTTATAATCTAAAATCCCAGTCCCACAAAAATTTACATGTGTTTAAGCATGACTCAGCTTATAAAGCCCCACTCCTGTATATGCTTAACTATGTCAATAATGTTTAAGGTCTTGAGTAGTCCCACTAACTTCAACAAATAAATTTACACGTGTTAACATTTAAAGACCTAGAGCATCACTCACCCTCACTGGTTTTCTAGACTGGGCAACATGGCTGACCTAGGTTTAAGAAACCAAGCAGCCCAAGACTCAGCTGTTCCTTAGGGAAAAATTTTTACCCAGATGAACTTGGTTCTCCTCACTCCCATCTGCCACAGGCACCCTGCCACCTCCCCCCTGCTGCCATAGGCACCCTGCTGCCCTGCTCCCTTTCTAGATGAGCGCAAGCATCCCAGGCAGGATCACAGAGGACTGATTACATTTCACACAAGTCGCATGCCCTGGCATAACTGGTAGCTCACAAATCCTGGCATATGCAAGGTACAAATCTATTCAATCTATAGTTGAATTCATAGTAGTGTAGAAAATCAAGGTTCTTGGCCTTCTGGAGGCATCCCACAGTGCTTCTCGTTGACCACTTTAGCCAGAACTTGCACCTCTACTGCACTCCAGGGGCTCGTCTACATTGGCCCCTTTTCCGGAAGGGGCATGTTAATTTCAGAGATCGTAATAGGGAAATCCGCGGGGGATTTAAATATCCCCCGCGGCATTTAAATAAAAATGTCCGCCGCTTTTTTCCGGCTCTTAGAAAAGCCGGAAAAAAGCGTCTACACTGGCCCCGATCCGGCCCGATCCTCGAGAAAAAAGCCCTTTTCCGGAGGATCTCTTATTCCTCCTTCAAAGTAGGAATAAGATCCTCCAGAAAAGGGCGCTTTTTCCGGAGGATCGGGGCCAGAGTAGACGCTCTTTTCCGGCTTTTCTAAAAGCCGGAAAAAAGCGGCGGACATTTTTATTTAAATGCTGCGGGGGATATTTAAATCCCCCGTGGATTTCCCTATTACGATCTCTGAAATTAACATGCCCCTTCCGGAAAAGGGGCCAATGTAGACGTAGCCCAGGTGAACAGGAAAAGTTCTGAAAAAGTTTGAATTTCATTTCTTATGTGGCCAGTGTTGCGAGCACACTTCCTAGTGGGTGTCACACCTGAGGAGCACGCATGGCCATGACTTCCAACACTTCCATGACTTCCAGTATTTCAAGTACCATGATCTCCAGTTCCCATGGGTGCAGAAGAGTGCCAGCGTGGAGTGTCTGGGTTATCTGGGACCTCATAAAGACAGGAGGAGAGGAATCCATTCTCTCCAAGCTCCAAACCAGCCAAAGAAACACAGATATTTACAAAGATCACAAACTGCCTGATGGCCAAAGGATACTTCATGGATGCCCAGCAATGCAAAGTCAACATAAAGGAGGTGAGGCACTTGTACTAGAAGACAAAAGAGGCAAATGGATGGTCTGGTGCATCAATGCAAACATACTAGTACTACGGTCAGCTGCATTTGATTTTGGGGGGGACACAACCAAATTCCTGACCCTGACCATGGAGTCCAGATAAGACACTCCTGGCATCAGCCTGGAGGACAGTGTTGGGGCACGGGAAGAAGGAGGAGGAGGAGAAAAACGGCCAGCCAGTGATCAGCGAGAGCCAAAAACTTTTTATCATATTGGAGTCAGTCCCCTCCTTCGAAGTCATCTCCCAGTAGAGCACGGATCTCTGGGTCGACACTTCTGGTGAGTTAACCCACTTGTAAGAAAAAGATTGTGAAGGCAATTCAGTGTGTTGTGTGCCTACACAGCTTAGGGTGGCCAGAACAGCTTTTAATGTTTCTGGAGATGGAGTGAGAATTCTCCCTGCACATCTCCATGAAACTCTCAGATAGATAGGCATTCTTTGATCTTTCTCATAAGGTTTCTGGGAAGATCAGTCTTATTCCATCCTCCACATATGCTACCTTCCCATGCCAACCTGCCAGGAAGAGGTCTGGTGTCATTGAACCACAAAGCATTGCAGCATAAGGCCCAGATTTCTGGTCACATTCAGTCAGCATCAGTTCCCTATCACTCTTTGTGATTCGGAGAAGGCTGTTAGCACTCTCCCTGGGAAGCCATGTGACACGGGGAAGTCACCCTGCCCCGTTTCCTTCCCTTCCCGCCTGCAGGCTCAGAAAATAGCACTTTCCCAGGAAGCCACACGTGCTGAACAACATGCTGTCCTGTCAGCATGACTGGACTCCATCCACCCCTTCCACCTGCAGGCTCCTGCTGGATGGGAAAATAGCACTTTCCCAGGAATCTGCGTGTGCTGGACACTACCATGCCCACCCAGCATGACTAACCCACCTGCAGGATCATGACCTGGCAGCTCCTTACCAAGCCTGTCTCCGTGCAAGTCCAGAGGTTCATTTGAGAGCTCTGCTGTGTATTAGGGATGTTAGATTATCGGGTAACTTAATAGTCATGTAAACACATGAATTCTTATCAGCTACATGACTATTTGATAGTCCCCAGGGGCAGGACTGGCAGCCAGTGGGCTCTGGCCCCACTCCTAGGGAGCCCCCTGTCACTGTAGTAGCCCCATCTGTAAGGGTCCAAGATCCCCACAGACAGAGGCTCCTGAGAGGTCTGGGGAGGCTGCTGCAAAGCAGTCTCTGTCCGTGGTAGCCCAGGCTGGTCCGGCAGCAGCCCCTGTCCATGAGCAGTCCAAACTCCCTGCAGACAGAAACTGCTCCACCTCCCTCCCTCCCACAGAGCAGCCTCTGTCCTCAGTGTAGGTTAGTTCCCGTCCTGTATAGGAATAAGTTATATAAGTATAAACAGATATATTTCAATATACTTGAATCCCCACTGTGTGTGTACCACTTGAATTATACCTGTATTGTTAGAACAACGTTTTGTGTGTAGACAAGGTCTCCTAAGTGTATGCAAGATTAGGCCAAAAAGTGTGAAACATAGTAAATACACAGTTATAAAAAGGTACAGCTAATAATTTGGGAGCTAAACTACATGATGGTTGTTTTCAAAATATATTTTTTGTAAATATAATAAATAAACTACTCTGTACTTTAAAGGATTTGAAGTAATGACCACTGGAAACAAATTCAAGAACTCTGAACTGATATTACTGTGCGAATGGGAAGAATGCCTTTTTGTAGGAAAATGCATGGAGGAATTTTGTGATCACATTGCAGAACACCTGAAAGCGTATGAACAACATCCTCTGGCAAGAACAGGTAATATTCACTAAACAGATAATGATGCAGTTTTGAGGATTTTTGTACTCTATAGCCCTGATCTTGCAGAGTCACTGTGCTGGTAAACTGAAGTCAATGGGACTTGTATGTAGGTGCTGGTCACTACCTGCACAAAGTTACTTGAAGTAGGGATGTTAAGGACTAGTCGACTATTCGATAAGCAAATGCTTATCAGATAGTTGACAGGATAGTCAACTAGTCGCTTCCCCTCTCCCCTCAAATAGAGTCAGCAAGGGGGAGATAAAACCAGGAGGTACTTCAAAGCGGCAGTGCCGCACGGAGCCTGGGGTCATCTGGGGACTCCCCAGCTGATCCTGGGCTCTACATAGTGCTGCCCCTTTGAAACGCCACAGCGGCGTTTCAAAGGGACAGCGCTGTCCTATCGACTAATCGATGCAAAAATGCATAGACTATTCGATTAGTCAGTTACACAATACTTAACATCCTTAACTTGAAAGACTGGAGACTATTTTTGTTTTTTCTTCACATCTGAGATTTCTGGTTTCCTTTTTGTTTTTTCTAAAGCTCTAGTACTAAAATAGAAATAATGCTAATGTACGTGAAGTCATGAATCCGAAGATTTAAATTAAATTTCTTCTTGAATTAGGGCTAAAGTGGGTCTCTTTAATTGAAAGTGTGTGTTTTTTAAAATTTAAATTCAAAAATAATTCTTAGATCTCTGGAACATAAGATTTCTAACTGTAAGGTGGAGTTTGGACAAATCAACTTACAGAAACTTGCCCTTTCGTTGCTTTTGTTGAAACTTTTCTGTGGCTAAATAATCAGTATTTGCTTGCTGCTTTTCTGTATTTTACGGCTTTCATCTAATGGTATTACAGTTTAGTTACAAGAAAAACTCAGAAATTGTATCCCCCCCCAAAATTGTAAGCGGTCTACATAGATTGTAATAGCAATGATACAGTAGATACTCTTAATATCACTGTTGTAGCTCTTGTTATTTTCACGTGTTTAATTTCTGGTGTAGATACTAAATTAAATTTGTTTAAAGGTACAGTATATGGAGAGTAAAACTGAACCAACATCAACAATATGCCTCCTCCTATCCAGTTTGATGGTATTTTAGCTCATACATAAATAAAAAGCTAATTTTTACAAAATTCTGTATCTCTCCTCTGAAACCACTGGGCTTGTTCTGTGTGGCTTTGGTACTGCAAAATGAATAATTCTGTGATGTTATAGCTATGTGTAACCTACTGGACATTGGAATAGTGATAGAGATGCAGCCGTGTTAGTCTGGTCTAGCTAAAACAAAAGACAGAACTATGTAGCACTTTAAAAACTAACAAGATGGTTTATTAGGTGAGGAGCTTCTGTGGGCCAGACCCACTTCCTCAGATCAATTTGTGGAAGAAAATTGGCATGACCATATATACCAAAGTGATACAATCAAAAAAATGAACGCATGTGAAATTGACACATCAAATTTTAGAACAGAGTGGGGGTGAGGGGGAAAGGTTAGTGTCTGTGAGGTAATGACATTAGGGGTGATAATTGGGGAAGCTATGTTTGTAATAGACACTCAAATAATTCCTGTGTTAAGTTTTGTTTTGTTGTCTTAATACATGGGCCCTATCTTGCAATGGGATCTGTTTGCACCTACATGAAGTTCATTTCAAATCTAGCACCCCTGCCAAATTACTGGATTAGAACAAGTAGGCAGAACAGTGTGATTACAAACCTGCACACTAAAAATACTGATAGAAATGTAGCAGTGTTAGTCTGGGGTAGCTGAAGCAAAATGCAGGACAATGTAGCACTTTAAAGACTAACAAGATGGTTTATTAGATGATGAGCTTTCGTGGGCCAGACCCACTTCCTCAGATCAAATAGTGGAAGAAAATAGTCACAACCATATATACCAAAGGATACAATTAAAAAAATGAACAAATATGAAAAGGACAAATCACATTGCAGAACAGAAGGAGGATGCCTTCTGTTCTGCAATGTGATTTGTCCTTTTCATATTTGTTCATTTTTTTTAATTGTATCCTTTGGTATATATGGTTGTGACTATTTTCTTCCACTATTTGATCTGAGGAAGTGGGTCTGGCCCATGAAAGCTCATCATCTAATAAACCATCTTGTTAGTCTTTAAAGTGCTACATTGTCCTGCATTTTGCTTCACTAAAAATACTGATACAGAAACTGGTTGCTCAGTATTCTTAAGTGGCCTTTTGAATTTAAGACTTACAATGTAAAAAACTCAAGTATTGTGCAATACTCAAATATCCAAACCAATATGATCTGAAATAGATGTATCCTTCTTTCTGCCTTGGAATTTTGTTTGTGTTTCCATACTTGTCCAAAGCCTCCCAATATTAGACACAACTGAGCAAAAAATCAATTAGCTATTTGATTCTTGGTATTCGGCTATTAGATCCAAATCACAGAAACTAGTAGTCTCACCCCAGGGATAAAGAGCTTTATAAGTTTCACCATTTATTGTCCAAAATGTGTCCTTGCATTCATGCTGATGCCAATCCTGCCAGGAATCTGGGGATTCTTCAATGTTCTTCCTGTACTCATTGAGGAGTACAGGATCTTTTTAAACGGGGCATTTCAGTCAAAAATGCCCTGTTGAAACTGCTGATTTTTTTCGAAAAGCTCCATTTCGAAAAAAAATGGCGGCCACCATTATGCAAATGAAGCGCAGGAAATTCAAATCCCTGCTTCATTTGCAATATAGCATTTTCACTTTAACCAGAAAGGACACTCTCTAAATGACTTAGCCACCTGCATTCTGCTACAAAGACCTTTTACATCTGCACTTGAAAGGGAATCCTCTGAACTGTCATTCATGTTAAAATTCGACACTTACCACCAGGGACTTAACAAGTCTTTGAACTTTCTCACCCATTATCAAGACAGTTTCCCCAATTATCACCTGTAATACCATTAACTCACAAACATCCCACTCTCCCTACCTTTAATATCAGCAATTCACAGACACTTACCTTCCTTCCTCCCCCTTCCCACCCCCCCGCATCCTCCTTCTGTTCTGCAATGTGATTTGTCCTTTTCATATTTGTTCATTTTTTTAAATTGTACCCCCCCGCATCCTCCTTCTGTTCTGCAATGTGATTTGTCCTTTTCATATTTGTTCTTTTTTTTAATTGTATCCTTTGGTATATATGGTTGTGACTACTTTCTTCCACTATTTGATCTGAGGAAGTGGGTCTGGCCCACGAAAGCTCATCATCTAATAAACCATCTTGTTAGTCTTTAAAGTGCTACATTGTCCTGCATTTTGCTTCAACTACCCCAGACTAACACGGCTACATTTCTATCACTATTCTACATGCAAGGCACTACATTTAGCCGTTTGGAATGGAAATCCATCAACCATATGAAGAAACTCGCACAGATACAGACAGACATCATCTTTCTATCCAAGTGCAAGAAAATGGACATCGTACCCAAAGGACTGAAAGTGAACAATCCACTAAGATCAACATACTTCACTGACTACAGTGAAAGACTCTGCCTCACACTATCCAAGAAATTAAGAAACCACCTGATAAGTATTTTATACAAGAAACAGAAAACCATCAAGAATGACATTTCTAACTTAGATCGTCTCATCTCAAGACAAACATCCACACCGACTGACACCTTGCAAGACTTTTGTTCCACCAGACAAGAAATCTACTATACACACTTCTGTTCCCTGCAACAGAGAAAAGACAATAAATTTTCTAACCTGCTCCATACCACTGGCTACAACAGCAACTGCCTCAACCCACCGGATAATATTGTTAACCTCTCCAGCTACAAACTCAATCCAGCAGAAGAGTCTGTCTTGTCCCGGGGTCTCTCTTTCTGCCCCACGTCCCCCACAAACTGGATACAATTTTGTGGTGACCTTGAGGCTTTTTTTCGCCGCCTCCGTCTCCGAGAATATTTCCAAACCACCACTGAACATCAATCTGACCTACCAGATCCCCCCTACCAACACCAAAGGAAAAATAATTCTATATGGACTCCCCCTGACGGTCGGAATTACAATCTGGATTTCTATATACACAGCTTCCGCAACAACGCACAGACTGACATTATTCGCAAACGACAACAAGCGACACACAATCTTAGCCGCGCTGAACACCATGCCATCCAGAGTCTCAAAAACAACCTGGACATTGTAATCAAACCAGCTGACAAAGGGGGTGCTGTGGTCATTATGAATAAGGCCGACTATAACCAGGAGGCAACCAGACAACTCTCGAACACCACATTTTACAAACCTCTCCCCTCTGATCCCACCTTGGACTACCAAAAGAAACTACACTGTCTCCTTAAAAGCCTCCCCACAGCTACTCGGGAACAAATCCTCACAGAATCACCTTCTGACCCCCGACCAGGATTGTTCTATCTACTTCCCAAGATCCATAAACCTGGGCACCCCGGACGTCCCATCATCTCTGGTATTGGCACGCTCACTACTGGTCTATCCAGCTATGTAGACACTCTTCTCAAACCCTTCGTAACCAATACCCCCAGCTATCTCCGAGACACTACTGACTTCCTAAGGAAACTACAAAACATCGATAACCTCCCCAATAATACCATCCTTGCCACCATGGATGTAGAAGCTCTATATACCAACATCCCACATGAAGACGGATTACAAGCAATTAGAAACACTATCCCAGAGGACACTACTGCCAACCTGATAGCAGACCTATGTAACTTTGTTCTCACCCACAATTATTTCCGGTTTGAGAACAACTTATACCTCCAGATCAGCGGCACAGCCATGGGTACACGCATGGCCCCACAGTATGCTAACATCTTTATGGCTGACCTAGAACAACGTTTCCTCAACTCCCGTCCCCTTTCACCCCTCCTCTACCTACGGTACATCGATGACATCTTTATGATCTGGACACATGGCCAAGAAACACTGGAGATATTCCACAGAGATTTCAACAACCTACACCCCACCATCAACCTCAGCCTGGACCATTCTACACGAGAGATCCACTTCCTGGACACCACCGTACAAATCAACAATGGAAAATTAGACACCACTCTCTACAGAAAACCCACTGACTCATACAGTTACCTACATGCATCCAGCTCCCATCCAGAACACACCACACGATCCATCGTCTATAGCCAAGCCCTTCGATACAACCGCATCTGCTCTAACCCCACTGACAGAGACCAGAAGCTTCAGGATCTCTACCAAGCATTTATAAATCTCAACTACCCACCCAGAGAAATAAAAAAGCAAATTGAAAGAGCCAGACGAATACCTAGAAACCATCTACTTCAAGACAGACCCAAGAAAACCAACAATAGAACACCACTTGTCATCACCTACAACCCCCAACTTAAACCTGTCCAACACATTATCAATAAACTACAGCCTATATTGGAACAGGATACCATACTCAAAGAGGCTCTGGGAGACAGACCCATAGTCTCCTATAGACAACCACCTAACCTCAAGATGATTCTTACCAACCACCACAGGACATACCACACTAATACCAACCCTGGTACCTTCCCTTGCAACAAACCCCGTTGCCAGCTTTGTCCACATATTCATTCTGCTGATACCATTATTGGACCTAACCAAGTGAGTTATAAGATCAAGCACACATATTCCTGCGCATCCAGAAATATAATCTATGCTATCATGTGCTGAAAGTGTCCGTCTGCTATGTACATTGGACAAACATCTCAGACACTTCGCCAAAGGATTAATGCCCACAAAACAGATATCAGACAAGATCACAAAGAGAAAACAGTTTCTTGCCACTTTAACCAGAAAGGACACTCTCTAAATGACTTAGCCACCTGCATTCTGCTACAAAGACCTTTTACATCTGCACTTGAAAGGGAATCCTCTGAACTGTCATTCATGTTAAAATTTGACACTTGCCAACAAGGACTTAACAAGAATTTGAACTATCTCACCCATTACCAAGACAGTTTCCCCAATTATCACCTGTAATACCATTAACTCACAAACATCCCACTCTCCCTACCTTTAATATCATCAATTCACAGACACTTACCTTCCTTCCTCCCCCTTCCCCTCCCCCCCCCACATCCTCCTCCTGTTCTGCAATGTGATTTGTCCTTTTCATATGTGTTCATTTTTTTAATTGTATCCTTTGGTATATATGGTTGTGACTATTTTCTTCCACTATTTGATCTGAGGAAGTGGGTCTGGCCCATGAAAGCTCATCATCTAATAAACCATCTTGTTAGTCTTTAAAGTGCTACATTGTCCTGCATTTTGCTTCACTAAAAATACTGATACAGAAACTGGTTGCTCAGTATTCTTAAGTGGCCTTTTGAATTTAAGACTTACAATGTAAAAAACTCAAGTATTGTGCAATACTCAAATATCCAAACCAATATGATCTGAAATAGATGTATCCTTCTTTCTGCCTTGGAATTTTGTTTGTGTTTCCATACTTGTCCAAAGCCTCCCAATATTAGACACAACTGAGCAAAAAATCAATTAGCTATTTGATTCTTGGTATTCGGCTATTAGATCCAAATCACAGAAACTAGTAGTCTCACCCCAGGGATAAAGAGCTTTATAAGTTTCACCATTTATTGTCCAAAATGTGTCCTTGCATTCATGCTGATGCCAATCCTGCCAGGAATCTGGGGATTCTTCAATGTTCTTCCTGTACTCATTGAGGAGTACAGGATCTTTTTAAACGGGGCATTTCAGTCAAAAATGCCCTGTTGAAACTGCTGATTTTTTTCGAAAAGCTCCATTTCGAACGCCTGCCATTATGCAAATGAAGTGTGGGATATTTAAATCCCAGCTTCATTTTCACTTTCAATACGTCTAATTTACATCCCTCTGCTGACAGATGGGTGTAATTTAGACGTAGCCTAGATGTTGTTCAGATATTCTAGGAGGGATGTAAAGGAGTAGTTGACTAGTGTACAAATCCTCTTCCCTCCTGCTGCCTCTGATTCAGAGGCAC